TTCCATGAAAATATGGTTCATAGGATAAGAATTTGAAATTAGATTTAAGTGCAAATTTAAGAAATATACTTACCTTTGATTCGAGGTAGACATTTGCTGATGACATTTTTGTAATTTTGCATATATAACTAACTAAAGAGATGGCACAAAGAATAAACAGGCTATCATTAATTAATGCTCGAACAAACACAGTCCATTTCAGCTGATTTTCTGAGACATCTCCGTGGACTAGCATTGCACAAGTCAAGTTCACCACTAAAAAGAGCAGGCTTGCCAATATAAAGCCCAAATGCAGTAGAATTCTGAAAGAGAAAAAGTTTGTTAGATGATTGTAAAACTAATGAAAAATTAAATTTAATTTTAAATTAGTGTAAGTTTTAAACTCAAATTTAAAGAGCCACATGCAGCTAGTGGCTACCATATTGGACAATGAAGCTCTAGACTTACGCCTGTGTTTATATTACATTTTAAAGTAGTATTAGAGGTGGGCGAGGTGGCTCACATCTGTAATCCTAGCACCTTGAGAGAAAGGCCAAGGCAGGAGGATCACATGAGGCCAGGAGTTCAAGACCAGGCTGGGCAACATAGTGAGACCCAGTCTCTACAAAAAATAAAAATATTAGCCAGGCATAGTGGTACATGTCTGTAGTCCCAGCTCCTTGGGAGGCTGAGTGGGGAGGATTGCTTGAGCCTAGGAGTTCAGCTGCAGTGAGCTGATTGTGCGACCATGCTCTAGCCTGGGCAACAGAGTGAGACCCCCCCCCGTCTCTTAAAAAAAATAAGAAAGAAAAGTATTGGTAAATGAATACACTCTATTTTAATACGCTTTTGAAAAACTTAATAGTATATCTTGAATATTAATGTTAGATGTGTTAGATGTTTTTCTTCACTTTTTAAAATTGGGCTGTCTTTCCAATATGAAAGTAATGCATGTTATAAATTTTGTTTTAAATAAAGAAGTGTAAAAAGAAAGTCTTCTGATTAGAAAGGCTTTTGAAGGGCCTGATTAAGTTTTTGTCTTAAGATATGTAATAAGAGCTAACAGTTTTATAATCATGAAATAATGCTTACTACACAAATTAGTAAAGTAGTTTATAAGAAGGTGCTTTTCTGAAGAGAAGATAATTTGACAATTCAGAAATAGCTTTTATGTAGAAAGCATAATAATTGCAGTGTGAGTAGAGCCTGTGGTATGCTTTTAATATGCTCTTCAGCTGTTCCTTAGGTTAGGACCAATAAAAGTTATTTAAATTTGGTTTTAATAAGACAGTATAAATATTTTGACATTTATACTTTCAGTAAATTCATCTGGTTCTCCTATTCAGTTAGTATGAAAAAGTTTTAAAGTAGAGCAGCCTTTGAAGTAAAACACAAAAAGTTACCCTCATATAATTTTCATGTCAATATATATTTCAACTGGTTTTTAAAAAAAAAACTACTAGGTTATTAAGTATGAAATGTCCAATTTCCTTAAGTACTAAGTTTGACAGTTGATATCTGACATTTTACTTTGACATCTCTTGTTTTATTTTTATTGTGAAGGTACATCCTCAGTCTTTCAAATGCACATTTTAGCTTGTGCTTGTCTTTCAAAATTTTCTAGAGCAATTTTGGTGAAAGCATAGATAAGTCAAAAAAATTCATGTTATTTTCGAATATGAGTTCAGTCCATTGTGGAACCAATGCAGCACAGACAGCTTGAAATATCAACAAAGTGTTTGAGAAGGGTGTGGCTAATGAATGCACAGTACATCTGTGGTTTGAGAAGTTCCATTCTGGTGATTTTAATCTTGAAAATGAGCCATGTAGGTGACCTGAGACCAAGGTGGATAATGATGAGCTGAAAGCTGTAGCGGAAGTGAAATCCATCTCAACCTACGCGTGTAAATAAGCAGCAAGGTTTGACATTACTATTCCAACAATATTGGACTCTTTGAAACAAATTAGCAAGGTAAAGAAGCTGGATAGATGGGTTCTGCATGAATTAAACAAGCATCAGAAGAGAAATCACCTTGAAGCTTGCCTTTCTTTGCTGTCATGATGTAAAGATGAGCCATTTCTATACCGTATTGTTACATGTGACGAAAAATGAATTCTTTTTGACAATCGCAAGTGTTTGGCACGATGGCTGGATAAAGATGAAGTGCCGAAACACAGTCCAAAACTGAATATTCATCAAAAAAAAGCCAATGGTATCTGGTGGTCCAGTGCTGGTATCATCCACTGCAGCTTCATGAAACCCGATCAGTCGATTCCAGTGGGTGTCTCCTTCAACCAAGTGGGTAAAATTGATGAGGATGCTTGCGATTAAGCAGCTGAGATTGGTCACTAGAAAAAGGCCAATCCTCTTGCAAGACAGTGCTCAACCACATCTCCCACAAACAACGCTGCTCAAACTACAGAAGCCAGACTTGGAAACTGTCATCCACTGTATTCACCAGACCGTGCACCAACAGACTATCAGTTCTTTCAGGCTTTGGACCACTTCTTGCAAGGAAAAATATTCAATTCTTAGCAAGCTGTGGAAAACACCTTTTGTGATTTCATTGCCATTCGCTCTCCAGGCTTCTTCACTGCTAGCATAAACAAGCTACTGTTAAGATGGCAAAACTGTCGATAGTTTAGCCACATACTTTGATTAATTGTACTGCTTCTTGTTTTGAAGATATAATAAACTACACTTTTGATTCGAAATCAGACATTTCATATTTAATGACCTAATAGTTTTCAGTTAAATTGTTTGACTGGGCAGGCAGTGCATTTAATCCAACAATATAAAGGTATATATACCGTGAAAGGCTCTGTTACCTGTTCCACATTTGGCCCTTTCCCACTTACAGTACACAATTTTGTCAGTTTCTGTATCCAGTGTCTTTATGTAGATAAAAACACATATATTTACTTACATCTTTTGAGGTCTGGGATTATCAGCACTCATTATAGCTGCTGTTTATTCTGTTGTATGATTGTCCCATAATTTATTTAACTAGACTCATGGAAATTTGAGTTGTTTCTGACCCTTTGCTATTACATACTCCAACAAATAATCTTACATTTATATCATTGTGCAGATATTTTAGAAGGATTTAGAAACCTGGAAATGGATTTCTCTTCCATAATGTAGGACTCCATTTTAGTCCCACCAGCAGTGTACGAGATGTCCTGTTTTCCTAAAGTTTTGTAACAGTTTGTTGTCAAACATTTGTTTTCTTTTGTGTAACACTTAAATATTATTTTTTCTCCTTAGAAACTTCAGGTTTTGTGGACAAGCTATTCGAAAGTCTCTATACTAAGAACTACCTTCCACCTTTGGAACCGGTTAAGCCTGAGCCAAAACCACTGGTCCAAGAAAAAGAAGAAATTAAAGAAGAGGTAATGCAAAATTTTTCTTATGCTTTTGAGGGTTTCTTAGGTCCTGTCACCAGTATCCTTAGCTAGAAGCTGAGCCCTTTAGAAGTAATTGTCTATTGCTTAAATAAAGTTTCTTAGTTTTAGGTATGGTGATGATTCTTTATCAGGGTTTCTTAGTTCCTTGGACTTGCAGAGTTGGAAAATTTCAGATAGCTTGTTTAGAAATCTAGGAAATATTTTAGTAATATTGAAGAGTTCAGAGAAATCTTATCCAGTAACTTCTAGAAAACGAAAACTTTGTTAAATATAGATGCTTGACTGAAAGTTAAGGATTAATGAAACCTCAAGAGAAGTCATCAGGTAAGACATTTTCATGTATATAGAAAAACCATTTACTCTATTTAAATACAGAGTTTTTAAAATAGTTAAATGTAATTATAAGCATTACTGTCAACATTGGAAGGAAAATTTAAAAAATGTTTTTACAATGTTAAAGTATAAAAACATGATTATAGATGGTAACCTAATTGTTTGAACCAAGAAGAAAATTTTAGAGCTCATTTGTAATTCCTTTTATATACAATGTAGTATATGATGAGAATGTGGATTCTATAATTAAGGTTGCATGAGTTAAAATAGCAGCTCTATAACAAGTTACTTCTCTGCCTCACTTTCACATCAGTAAAGTGAGAATTATGGTAGTACTTATTGAGGATTAAATGAGATTTTATATACATACATATAAGTAGTTCCTAGTTTAGTGCTTGACACATAAATATTTTCTAATACTTGTTTTTATTACGTTTATTCTGTAGACAAAATGACTTTTTTGGAAGTCTCGCTCTGTTACCTGGGCTAGAGTGCCATGGCATCAGCCTAGCTCACTGCAACCTCAAACTCCTGGGCTCAAGCGATTCTCCTGCCTCAGCCTCCCGAGTAGCTGGGACTGCAGGCGAGCAACACCACACCCAGCTAATTTTTCTGTTTTAAGTATAGATGGGGTCTCACTCTTGCTCAGGCTGGTCTTGAATTCCTGAGCTCAAGCTCCTCTGGCCTCCCAGAGTGCTAGGATTATAGCCTGAGCCACTGTGCCCAGCCTTTTTTTTTTTTTTTTTTTTTGAGACAGAGTCTCGCTCTGTTGCCCCAGCTGCAGTGCAGTGGCGTCATCGTAGCTCACTGCAGCCTCACTCTGGGCTCAAGCAATCCTCCTGCCTCAGCCTCCCGTGGAAATAATTTTAAACTTGCATAAAAATTATAAGAATAGTACCCAAAAATAATATGACATCTGTCTAGATTTACTTTCTATTTTTAATTTTCGAGATAGGGTCTCGTGCTGTTGTCTGGGCTAGAGTGCAGTGGTGTCATCATAGCCACTTCTAGGGTGAAATGGTCTTCCAGCCTCAGCCTCCCGAGTAGCTGGGACTACAGGCATGTGCCACTATGCCTGGCTAATTTTTTCTGTATATTTTTAATTGTCTGGGTAATTTCTTTCTATTTTTTTAGTAGAAACGGGGTCTTGCTCTTACTCAGGCTGGTCTCCAACTCCTGAGCTCAAACGATCTGCCGGCCTCAGCCTCCCAGAGTGCTAGGATTACAGGCGTGAGCCACCACATGCGGCCAAGTTGCCATTTCTGATTCATTTTTAAATGCTAGGCTGATTGAACTGATCTAACATTAAAGGAAAATAAAATGTGGCTGTATTTAATTAAGATCAGCTGACTGATCACTATCACTTTCACTATCACTAGCAGTTTCTTGTTTTTATATCATGCCCTGTAATTATCTAATAAAATTTAATAGGAGAGGCTGCTTGTATGTTTCTTCAAGTAATGGAAATAGGAAGGAACTTTTTTATTACCTTCGTAGAAAATTTTCTTTGGCACTTTATAGTATATAATTTTTGGTCTGTAGTATATGCTAAATCTTTTATAATGAATTAGAATTTTTACAGCATGTGTGTCCTTCACAGTCATTGAAGTTCAGTGGTTTAGAGGTTTCTGTTTGAAAGGCAGCTGATTTAAATATAAGAGAAAATTTGCATCATCTTGAGTTTTGAAAGAACAGTTTATTGACTGTCTGAAACTGGCTGTTGCTCTGGCTAGAGTGCAGTGGCATCATCATACCTCGCTGCAACCTCAAACTCCTGGGCTCAGTGATCTTCCAGACCATAGGCACACACCACCACGCCCTGCTAATTTGTCTATTTTTTTGTAGGAATGGAGTCTTGTTATGTTGGTCAGGCTGGTCTTGAACTCCTGGCCTCAAATGATTCTCCCACCTTGGCCTCCCAAAGTGCTGGGATTACAGCATGAGCCACCAGGCCTAGCCTGAAAGAACAGTTTTAAAAAAACCCAAATTGTTAACACTATCTTATTTGTATCTTTGTGGGATTGTGAAAAATGGATAACACCTGTTTCTGTGTAGAGCTGCCCCACTGACACTTTCTGACATTTCTCATTTTCTAAGATTTTTTACATAACTTAATTCTAATTACTGACATATAGTTCATTTAATAGTGCATGAATATAATAGTTTATAGTAATTCTGTTAGATCATGTGGAAGGAAGGGAGTTTGAGGTGACATATATCTTTGGCTAATATATCTTTTTCTGATCTGTGCTCAGTTGATACAGTTGCTCAGAACAGGATATGGAGGAGCAAATCTGTCTAAGGACTATCCATTTTAACTTTCTTCCTTGATCCTCAGCTATATTGTTCCATCAGTTGTGTTATAATTAGGCTATTGGTCACAAGTGGAGCTAGGTGAGAGAATTTGAATCATTGGCACAACTCATCCTGGGACCAGAAAAACAACTTGGTAGATATGTGCCATGATTTATGGAGCACAATGCATCCATTCCTCTTTTCTTTACCTCTTCTTTTCCCTTAAATTTTATTTTGTGAAGAAACCCAATCGGGCTGGGCGTGGTGGCTCACGCCTGTAATCCTAGCACTCTGGGAGGCCATTGTTTGAGCTCAGGAGTTCGAGACCAGCCTGAGCAAGAGCGAGACCTCGTGTCTACTAAAAATAGAAAGAAATTGATCGGACAACTAAAAATATATAGAAAAAATTAGCCGGGCATGGTGGCACATGCCTGTAGTCCCAGCTACTTGGGAGGCTGAGGCAGAAGGATCACTTGAGCCCAGGAGTTTGAGGTTGCTGTGAGCTAGGCTGACTCCACGGCACTCTAGCCAGGACAAAAGAGTGAGACTGTCTCAAAAGAAAAGAAAAGAAACCCAGTGGTTTGTCTTGTAGAATTTTTTACTGTCTGGATTTTGCTGATTGCATCTCAGTGGAGTAATACATCCTCTGTATTTCGCGTGAATTGGTAGAGAGAATGATTTTTAAATACAGTCTAATGACTGTGTGATGTTTTTGCCAGCACCATATGGTTGCCATATTGTGGCTGCCATTTTATGTTGCCTGAATTTTTTAAAATTGTTATCTCCTGGTCCCTTCATTCACTTCTTGATTTGGGTATTTGTAAGTGAGCTTCTCCCTTAGATGGACATTTGTTTAGCTCTTGCAAATGACTTTATTTCACCTTTCTCTAGTAAAGGCTATATATCTGGTTTGAGATCAGCTTCTGTTTAAAGACAATAATAAAAGCATAAAAATAAAAAATGTCTGGTCACTCTTGACTGTCAGGCATTAAGAGAAGCCTTAATGTTTCCATTAATTCCAATAACATTTTTCCATAATTTACATGAAATAGTTTTATAGTATTTATTAATCTAACCATTTGTTCCCAAAACTTTTTCTATGAATTAAATCTTAAGTGTTCTTCAAATGAATTATATGTGTGAATGTATTTCATAATTAGGAAAATACAAACTGTTTTGATATATGATACTTAGAGATTTGCTATTTCTATTTCAATTTAAAAAATGAATTGCTTGTTTTTTTCTACATTACCATTTCTTACCTTAAATTAATGTTTAAAAATTAACACACTGCTTGTTAAAGTAACCTGAGCATCTTTTTTATTTCTGTTCATGCCTAACTCTTTTGAATGTGATTTGACTTTAGTATTCCAGCGTATTTATTTGTGCCTTCTCTCATGCCAGAAATACTAGGTGAATGTTTTTCATAATTTATAGAGAAACTGTTCTTTTTTTTAATTTTAAAATTTTTTGTTGGTTTCTTGGTATCTTCTGATCTTACTTCTAATGAATGCTTTCATTTAGATATTTCAGGAGCCAGCAGAGGAAGAACGAGATGGCAGAAAAAAGAAATATCCTAGTCCCCAGAAGACTCGTTCAGAATCTAGTGAACGAAGGTTTGTGTTTATCTTTAATTAGGAAGACATTGATAACTTGATTTTCAGTTGCCTTTTAAGGGCATTAAAGGGATTTTTAACATATGAACTGACGGTTTCTTTCTAAACTCATTAAAGAAAGAGGACATTACCTTTCTTCCTTCCATTCTCTGTTTTTTGTCTTTGTCTTACTTTCTGTTCCTTTTATAAACAGTCATTATTATGTGCTTTCCCCAAGAGCTCAGGGGTGGGAGCAGTCTCCTTAGAGAATATTAATGAAATGTTCCATTTGGTTAGGGGTGCTCAATATTGAAATCATCCATGTCATTTTATAAGTAGTGTGATTTGTATGTTGAATCATCAACCTACCGTCAAAAATATCTTTGTGTAAGAAAACTTTGTTTTGAACCTTTTTTCTTTTCCAGTTCTAAATTTCTGTTTTCCTTCTACCCCTTCCCATACTTTGGATTCACCTCCTTTTTTTCATTCGTCCCCTCCCAGTGTACTTGAAGTGGGAATGTTTTTTCCTTTTTGTATATTGGCTTAGAAGAATTATGTGGTAGTCTTGCAACTTTTCTAAAAAAGCATAGACTTTATGCATTTTGATGAGTTGAGAGTATTTCATACTGTAGATTTGTTTGCAGACTTGGTTTCTATAGCTTACGTATGGCTTTTATATCTGTGCGTTATAGAACACGTGAGAAAAAAAGAGAAGATGGCAAGTGGAGAGACTACGACCGGTACTATGAGCGGAATGAATTGTACCGGGAGAAGTATGACTGGAGAAGAGGCAGGAGTAAGAGTCGGAGTAAGAGCCGAGGCCTGAGTCGTAGTAGAAGCCGAAGTAGGGGGCGCAGCAAAGACCGGGATCCAAATAGGAATGTTGGTGAGTAGATGAAGTATCCCCCCTAAAAACTCTGTAGTTGCTTATCTTTCTCTATCACAAGGGCACAAGTAATTTCCTTAAAGGTAAATATACTTTTAATATGTCTAAGCAATATAAAAGCTGAAATGGTCTCAAAAAACTCAGTACTGATTTTGTTACAAAGACAGGACTCTGTTCTTGGGATGGAGTCAAGGGAGTTTGATTAAAAAGAAGCTATTTGTAAGTGTATTATAGTATATGTCTAGACTTAACTCATTTTATATAATTGACACAAATGTCCTTCAATCAACAAAACTATCAGTTAAGGAAGAAGGTTGCCTGCTTTTGCCTTTTTTGCTTTGTTTTGTGTTCTAAAAGTAATTGATTTGCTTAATAAGGTTTTCTAAAGTTTTTAAAATTAAAAAGGAAAAAAGTTTAAGTAGATGTTTGGAATCCCAACCACTCATCTCCTGAGATAAATCAGCTTGGAAGTCAATTCTTGGATAAGATTTTTATTAAATATCAGTAGAGAAGCTGAACCTTTTTCATTAAATATAATGATGTTGCTGTTATAAAAGATGATTTTGTAGAAGTTATTGGTCAAGATATATTAGATAGTTGATGTTCCTGCTTTTAGGATATATTAACAATGACAGTTTTGGCCGGGCGCGGTGGCTCACGCCTGTAATCCTAGCACTCTGGGAGGCCGAGGCGGGCGGATTGTTTGATCTCAGGAGTTCGAAACCAGCCTGAGCAAGAGCGAGACCCCGTCTCTACTAAAAATAGAAAGAAATTAATCAGACAACTAAAAATATATAGAAAAAATTAGCCGGGCATGGTGGCGCGTGCCTGTAGTCCCAGCTACTTGGGAGGCTGAGGCAGTAGGATTGCTTGAGCCCAGGAGTTTGAGGTTGCTGTGAGCTAGGCTGACGCCACGGTACTCACTCTAGCCTGGGCAACAAAAGCGAGACTCTGTCTCAAAAAAAAAAAAAAAATGACAGTTTGAAATATGGATAGCTCATTAAGTTTAAGCAATATTCTCTTTTCTGTGAGAAAATAAACCTAATTTAAGAACATAAAATGTCTGACCTCTTTGCGTTTTGTTTTTATTTTGTCTGTAAAGCAGAGCACAGGGAAAGATCAAAGTTTAAGAGTGAGAGAAATGACCTGGAGAGTTCCTACGTGCCTGCATCTGCACCACCTCCGAACTCTTCTGAGCAATATTCCTCTGGGGCACAGTCTATTCCCAGCACTGTTACTGTGATCGCACCTGCTCACCACTCTGAAAACACAACTGAGAGTTGGTCTAATTACTATAACAATCATAGCTCTTCCAATTCTTTTGGTCGAAACCCACCACCAAAGAGGCGATGCAGAGATTATGATGGTAAAAATCACCACCTTCTCATTTTGTACCTGAAAGTCCTAGTAAAGCAAATGTTGCATATATTGCATGCCTTTTAATTATAGTCCAGATTTTGTTAAAAGTGATGAAAGAGGAAGAGAATCTCTTTTGGCATATGTTTATTTACTTGTTTGAGTTAATGGTTTAACATTCAAGAGAATGTTTAAATTTGACTCTTTTTTATTGTTTTCATTGTTCCTTCAAACACTCTAATCATACCATAAAATTGGTAGACAGTAGGAATTGTAATTTCTTTTTGTAGTGTTTGGTATTGGAAATTTAAACATGTATAACCTTACAAGCTTGATTTGCTGACTTCATTTGAATAAATGAATCAGTATGTGTGTATTTATTTTAATTTTTTATTATGGAAATAAGTTAACAAAATAATGTAATTAACCCCAGTGTATGCATCACCTCGTTTCAATAGTTACCAACTCATGGACAGTCTTGCTTTTATCTACACTCCCATCCCGTTCTCCCTGGCTTGTTACATCAAGCAAATAATAGACATCATAATTTTTTTCTGTAAATATAGAATGCATTTTTTTTTTTTGTCTGTCGTGACAGAGTCTCACTCTGTTGCCCAGACTAGAGTGTGGTGGTGTCAGCCTAGCTCACAGCAACCTTGAACTCCTGGGCTCAAGCAATCCTTCTGCCTCAGCCTTCCGAGTAGCTGGGACTACAGGCATGCACCACAATGCCCCACTAATTTTTTCTATATGTTTTTAGTTGTCCAACTAATTTCTTTCTATTTTTTTTAGTAGAGACGGGGTCTCCCTCTTGCTCAGGCTGGTCTCAAACTCCTGAGCTCAAACGATCCTCACGCCTGAGCCTCCCAGAGTGTTAGGATTATAGGCGTGAGCCACGACATCCAGCTGAATGCATATGTTTTTATATTCTATTTAAGTGAGGAATAGAGTCAGATCATAATTCTAGTGTTACTTCATTCTCATCCTGATCTCCCACCCACAGAATTCTTCCCAAGGCCAACTTAATATCAATTTCTTATGTATCTTTTCAAGTATAGTCTATGCATATGTACATAAACAAATACATATACATGTTCTCCCCCACTTTCTTTTTTACATAAATGTTAGTATACTATTCGTACTTCTTCATGATATTTTTTTCATATAGCAGTATTTCCTGTATTTTAAAACGTAAAGAGGTTCCTCAATATCTATTTAGGCTTCTTAGCATTCTTTATGTACAAAAATGTGTTTAACCTGTTTCTTATTGATGAATATTTGGGATGTTTCTAATATTTTTCTTTTATGAACAGTGCTGCAGTAAATAACCTGGTACATGATGTCCACTTGAATATTTTAAACTATAGTTTCATTTTCCAGATATAGCAAGAATGATTGCTTTAGAATAATATGAGAGTAGATCATTAAAATTAAATCATCTAGGTCAGTGCCCTTATTCCCCCCTCCCCCCAGCCTTTGCTAAATCAATATTTGTTTAAAGTATCTCAGTTTTTATTTTGAAAACTTAATAGCAAGTGAATTAATTTAATAGTGGCTAGTAGCCTTCCCTTGACCTTGTTTTTTGCTATCTCAATAAGTCATAATCTCATAGTATAGAAATTAGGGAATATACCTGCTTCTACCTCAGAGAGATATGATGATTAACAGAATAATGCTAAGAAGGCTTTAGTCTCCTTGGAGAAAACCACTTTGGAAATCAGATTGGTGGGTTTTTTAGGGACATGTTTTGTTTGTTTTCTGAACTCTTAAGTAGATCATAACCAGATTCTCTTTTTATTCTTACAGAAAGAGGATTTTGTGTACTTGGTGACCTTTGTCAATTTGATCATGGAAATGATCCCCTGGTTGTTGATGAAGTTGCTCTGCCAAGTATGATTCCTTTCCCACCCCCTCCTCCTGGGCTTCCTCCTCCACCACCTCCTGGAATGTTAATGCCTCCAATGCCAGGCCCAGGCCCAGGTCCTGGCCCAGGTCCTGGCCCAGGCCCAGGCCCAGGTCCTAGCCATAGTATGAGACTTCCTGTTCCCCAAGGACATGGCCAACCTCCACCTTCTGTTGTGCTTCCCATACCAAGTAAGTACATGTTGGTTGAATTTTTCTTTCTTTAGTGGAGTATTCTATTTAGAAGAACCTTATCTCTTTTAGCTAACTTGACACTCTGTTTAAAATGTTTGAAAAATAAAATAATAATAGAATCTGGAATATATTCTCATAATTAAGATGCTGTTCTTTCCTTTTTTCCATCCATTGTTAACATGGTTTTATTTCTACTAGTCTCAGTGTAAATTTTATCTGTAGTGGCCTAACCTGTATTGACCTGTTGTCAGAATCTTGCTATTTGATAACATCTTAAAAAAAGATAGTTTTTGGCTGGGCATAGTGGCTCGCGCTTGTAATCCTAGAACTTTGGAAGGCCACAATTGCTTGATGCCAGGCGTTCAAGACCAGCCTGGGCAACATAGTAAGATCCCCATCTCTACAAAAAAATTTTTTAAATTAGCCAAGTGTAGTGCATGCCTGTAGTCCTAGCTACTTGGGAAGCTGAGCCAGGAGGTTGCTTGTGCCCAGGAGCTTGAGGTTGCAAAGAGCTATGATTGCGACACTGCACTCTAGCCCAGGCAACAGAGCAAGATCCTGTCTCAAAAAAAAAAAAAAGAAAGCCAGTTTTTAAGACATCAAAGAACTTGTCAATAGTTTTATGAAATTTGCCAATCTTTAAAAAAAATCTCTT